GACACCCCCTTTATACTCCTGGGTGGAGAGAGACTCTGTGAGAGCAAATTGTTTCGCACGAGGCTACAACATATTGTCCCTGCCAGGCCAAATCTCGAACCAGGACTTCTCGACTGGGAGTCCAGTGTATTGACCATTAGGCCACCAACTACCATTTTGACAAAAATTAAATTAGTAAAATGAAAAAATCGTAAAATACTTGTGAAAAATTCGTGGCTGGTATGACGCGGCGTTTCGTTCACGAGTTACAATATATAGATGAGGTCGAAAACATACAGTTGGGAATCCTTCTGTGATAGAGGGCCAGACGGCTTACATCTTGCCTTCGCAAACGGAACTTTGAGCGCGATGCTCGACGAGGTCGCGTGAAATTTATGGAAAGTATCTGACGAGTCTCTTGGCCGAGACGAAAAGCCGCGTCATCCCAGCCACGAATTTTCCCTTAAATTAAATGCTTAGTAAAAAAGCCGATCTATCAAGCCAACCTCTTTCAATATATACTGTTCCCTCATCAACTTCTGTCTGTCTCTATTTGGATTTTGAACAGAAATATTAAGGACGTCTTCCCTTCCAGTGTCATGTTCCGTCACGAAGTAAACAAGATCAGATAACAGCTGTGTCACAAATCTAAAAAAAAAGATGAAATTAATGTATTTGTCATCAATAAGTTTTTCAAACTAAATGAAGGTTTATATCAAAGAGTCTTTTCCCAAAATACGTAGAGCTTTTGTTTTAAAACGAGACCATGGAGCACACAAAATTCATTTTTACAAGAAAAGTTTGGAATTTGGCTTCATTTTGAGAGTGAGGCCGTTTAGAACTTGGAAAAGCCTATGTGGGCAAAAGGGATGCGGCAAGAGCGCCTGCTTCCCACTGCTGTAGCCTGGGTTCCACTTACGGTCTTGGCGTCATAAGTGTGTAAAGTTTGAGATTTTTTCAGAGTTCCTTAGTTTTTACCCCTTCACAAAAACAAACACTCAAAATCCTAATTATCACATTTACCGTCTTTCATGCTGAGTGTAATTTGCTGTTTCCATTTTGTTTGCAAAAGAGCCCAAAACTTTACTGGCATCATTGGCAAAATCCAAATCTCTCACTTCAGCTGGAGGGACTGGAACAATTGCAAACGCTTCTTTGTCTTCTTTGATACTTGCTGTACCAATCTGAATAAGTGCATGAGAAATGTAAACCGCATGAGGCAAAGTTAATTAAGCTGTCATTGTTCCACAGCTTAACTGTCAGTTCAAACAGCATGTTTTCCTTCTTTACCATTTCTCGATTCTGCCTCCAGGTGAAAAACTTTCAATTTCGAGCATCGACGGCAATTAGTGACTGAACACAAATAAAACCTGAACTTTAAACCCAAGCCTCCGATGAAGCACCCGAGTCATAAAACGGATCAAAACAGAAGGGATAGCAAACACCTCCAAGGCTTTTAATGAAAAGAAGAACTCTAATTTAGAACATGATGTTTGTAATGAAATTTTTACCTTAAGCATGACAGGTCGTTCTTCACTCTTGTCAATAGGTATTGAAGTGGAGTGCACCCAGGTGTTTGTGCAGAGATGTCTCAGACGAACATAAGATGACCTTCATAAACGAAAAAATGAAAAAAAGATACTTTAGGTAAAAGGAAACACTCACCTGAAAAAAACGATCTGAATTTAATTCAGATCGGTTAAGAGTTAATTAATTTGCAATACAAATTTCACAGTAAGCCTTTGATTATCACCTTGGCACTAATGAGTCTGCTCTTGTCAGTGTTGTAGGATCCAGCTCAAAAATTGAGGCTACATCGTTTCCATGTGGGACAGGAACAAGGTGACACACAGCTCCATTGCCTTTCAGTTTTTGTCTTGTTGTGTCTTTCGTAGGGTCATCATCAGTCTAAAAAAAAAAAAAATCCATCATAATCTTTCCAATAAATCTCTAATTATTAGATCCTTTCAAAAAGATCCTCCATTATCATCAAATATTATTATTAGATTGTTCCATCATTTTCCCTTTTCACTCTGGGAAAATACAACAACACTTCATTCAAGGGCAAAAAAGGAGTCTTACCAATCCCTTGCCTGCTTTGAGGTCTTACTTACAAGTACATACCTTTTCTTACAGTGTATTATAGTATTTATTATACTTATGCAAAAATGTAAGACCTTCTATAAAATGAGAAACTTTCAATTACTTGTCAAAAGTAATCCAGTTTGCTTTTTTTTTTTTCTTTGCTCTGTGATTGGTCCAAAAAGCTTGAGCCACTCCCAACCAATCATGTGCAAAAGTAAAACCAATCTCACGTTTTCCAGCACTTTAGGGAAAATGGTCTCTTTTACTTTAATTGAGTTCTCATTGGCTCTTAACCCTTTAACTCCCATGAGTGACCAAGACAGATTTTCTCCTTGCAATATCAATACAATACTAAGCAGACAAGTGATGAAAGTAAAGAAAAATATCAATTAGGAGATTATAAGTTGATTCAATACCAAATTTTCCAAACTAACATCACAAGAACTGTATGGCAGACAGTAGGGAGAATTACTACAGAGATCTTGGGAGTTCTAGAGATAAAAGTATTTTCCCTTTTACTGATTGGCTGTTGAGATTGCTTTGCTTTTTGCAATACTCAATCAAAAAGTGCTTCACAATGAAAGAGAGAATGGATATAAAAGAAAAGAAACATCATCAAAAGGGTATTCTTCACCTCTGCTGCCAAGTAATCTCCAGTGGCCAGATGTTTGAATCTGAACAAACCATTCCAATGCCCAGCCCCTCCCCGGCAAGGATCGTGTTGGACAACCTGTTAAATCAATTATCAGTCAGTACAGATTCAACATTAGAAAACGTTTCTTTCATCTGGTACAGAACTCAAATATGTTTATGCTCTTCCTTAAAACATGAAGGTCTTCTGAATCACCTCTACTTCCCACAGCGCTTTGGAACTTGTGGCTGATGTGGCTGTCTGTCTTGCTGTAGTTCTCAGAAACACATATGACTTCTTTTTGTAATCATCTGCTGTCAAAAACTTTTCCTGCTCTGCATGAAACAATCTGACTACATCACCCTGTCAAGGAGAAAAACACAGCACTTTTTCTGATGAGCCACAGTGCAAAATAAAACACTCACTACTACCAGTTTCTGCAGTGACCCCATCCCCATGACAACAATATACTTTATCATACAGCTAGCTTTATGACTGTGCAAGACAAAGAAAATCTTGTCCTCTGATTGGCTACTGGAACCTGCCTTTGCCCCTTCAGGATTGCAAACTTTGCTTGCACAAAACAAGAAATCCAGCAGAATCACACTCACCCCTTTCAAGACCTCATCACTGTTGTCTTCATAGGCAAGAAAGAGTGATATCTTCCAACTTGTATTGCAGTTCACAGAGTTGACCTAAAGGAAGAACAGATACACATGAATAAAATGAACTATTATGCCTAGGAAAACTGCAGCTACTTGTCAAATGAAAGCACTGCCTCTTTTGTTACAAATGTTATCCTAGCTTGAAAAATTCACATGTCACATGTACTTTAAACAGTGTTTCATGAATCAAAAAAAATTTAAAAGGGAAAACTTAAAACCTCACTTTAACTTGCCTTTCTGCAAAATCCCCCATCACATGTTAATTTTGGGCTTGATCATATGTCACATTTAAACCTTTCACCACCCTCTTAGATCAGTATTCAGAGGATGTCTAATAACGGGAAAATTTTTAGCACCTTCCTGGTTACTTTCTTAGTGAATTTTACCCTATTCAACTTGAACTCTTGAGAACTCAAACTTTTTTCTGGATTTTCCTTAAAGATTTGCATTGATGAAAGTCTAGCAACAAACAGAAAGGTTTTAAAGCTAACCTCCTTACACCCTGGATTGTCGATAAGTTCTTGGTTGCTTGCATGAAGTGGTTGACCTGCATTGACTGGGTTTAATATAACTTTGTCTCCGATGACAACCTACAGAAGAGGACATTGTATGTTTCAATCTATTTAACAGAACCTTGATTCTCAAAAATGTCGACACCTAAATACAAAAACCTGCGTTCTACCAACCTTGTCTCCAGAAGATCTCAGCTTGTAAAATGGAACAACATAAAACCAAGATCCCTAGTAAAAAAATTTAAGGTCATTGTATGAAAATTGTGATAGTCTAAATAGATCATATTAGCTGAGCCCTGAATGCTCTATCCAATGAGATTTAACCCAAGATCTGATTGTTAACTCTCCCCTCTGACTATTACAAATTTCCTTGTAAATTAGTTTCAAGAATTTGGTATTTGATCCCTATAACAACTTCTACCTGATAAGTTTGATTACTCTCATTGATATTGTAGGGGAAAGTTACATGATATTAAAAAATTCTGGGTGTTTCTGAAAGGTTTAAAACCTTATGTTGGAAGCATGAATGTACTACTGATCTTTCTTTCAAATAGTAGTCTATAGATCGCCTGGCAGTTAAACATCGCATGCAAGTAAAACAGAAATTGTTAAAATATTCAAATTGTAGTTTAGGGGCAAAGGTCACAAGCTTCCTAGATTAGTTTTAAAGAGAAAAAGTTTGACTCTATGCCATGCTCTCCACATCGTGCTGTTCTGAGCCTCAACACCTTCTCCATTTTGGTGCAATAATTTATTCAATAACTACATCATTCTGTATTTTCTTGGAAATTTCTTAAAATGCTACTGAGAGAGAATTAACTCGGCAGAATTTTTTTACCTCATTTCCATTGGTGTCTAATGTAACCCGCATGGCATTTTTCTCCCTCAAGGCTGGAAGTCGTTTGTTTACTGTCAGAAACTTGTTACTCTTCACATGTAGCAGCTTTAAGTGTTGATGTTGGACAAATAATTTCAAAAGTTGGTTCTGTACCATTCATGAAGATCTCAAATATTCAAGAATTTTTTTTGTGTCCTGCCCAATTGTATTGGGGATCAGATCACACGAAGAAACCATAAACTTGTAATTACAGCTAACAGTTTCACTCAGTTATTTCACCTGCAATTCAATCTATTAGTTGTGTCGCCTTCTCAAACTACTACTACTACTGCAAACATTTTCAGAATTAGTTATTTAAAAAAAAAACACTTTCTGAATTTCATATTAAGTAATAATCAAGTTTGCTGTTTAGAGTTATAACTTAAGGCAAAACGGCTTTTGGTCTATCGACAGCCAGCATAATATATTTCAAGAAAAAAATCAGTTTGCTGACTAACAGTATAATAAAAAATAACAAATACTTTTGGTTATAAAGCTTTGAACTCAAAAATCATGGCTGCAGTATACCTGAATGACTCCTCCGTATTCTACCACACTTCCCAAACACTTCTTGTATTCAGAATCATTCTGTTTCTTTTCCAACTCTGCAGCATGCTGAAATAACATTCAAGAACACCTTAGTCCAGTGCTCAAGTTGTCTTACAGTGTGTAAACATTATATTTGATAGTCAGGTTATAACTTTCACTATAAAATGACAGTGTTGGATGGAAGTAAATCCCTGGCAGTGGAACAAATAACAAAGCTTTTGCAGGGCCATTAATAATATTTCTGTTTAAACTGTGTAAGTAGTTATCCATAGTTGTTAATCTTTTTCCTCGTACAAGTGACTAACATCTAATTTCTCCTTACAATATCACCCCTGAATCACTGATCAAGGTCACAAGAATAAAAGAAATGATCAAAAATCAATGCAGCTCTTGATTGTTTAAAAAATACTCCTTGTTAGCACCTTAAAAAATGTATCAAGAACAGTATGGAGAATATGCATACTGATGTTAGGGTGTAAAGGATTAATGAGCCTGAGTGTCAAATCATATGTCTGGTAAATGTTGTGGGTTAAAATGAAATTCAGGAAAAGAATGATATCAAATTTATCCTCTGTTAAAGGAATATAGTACAGCATCAGAAGTACAACTCGTCAAGTTGTAGAATTGACTCCTACTGGGAGTACTTCGCATTTTTGTTTTTGAGTTAATGCCTGCGTCAGTCAATGATAAGAATAACATCACCATTCACAGAAATATGATAATTTATCTGGAACAAAGGAAATACAGAACTTAGTCCATTTAATATCGTTTTGACCTTCGCATCGCAAAGCCCAATATAAGGCTTAAGTGTTGAATTTCCTTTCGGATCAATATCTCAAAAGTCAGACTGCTTCTACATCATAACCATAAACACAGTTAAAACATGTTAAATATAAACTGATTTTAAAGTTACTTCAGCATTCTTTTAATTTAAATTTACCCAAGTAAAATCAGTATTTTTATATAAAGCACTCTAATTCTGGGCTAAATTTCTACAAATGGACCAATTTACAGCCTCATGCTCACTAATTACCGGTATTTGACAAAGAGGCATTCATAGGACACAGAGCCGACAGTGTAAATCTAATTAACACTTCAACTAATTAACATTTCCCTAATTTATTCAAGTCAAATTATTACATCACACTGTATAATTCCAAGAAAAGAAAAAAAAAACCATCCCTGTTTGTAAAGCGCAAGTTTCTGTATATTGATTTTGTTTAGAAAAGATGTTACAAAATATCAAACTTCCACTTCTCCCTTTCAAAACCCATCTTTTTTCAGGGCTTTGTCCTCTTCTTTGGAAGATCCAATATCACTAATTACTACTATTGATTTCTTAAAATATCTGCAGCCACAATTTTCTAATTCTGTAAGTTGCCACCAAGACATGGAATAAAATTCAAAAAAAAAAAAAAAAAGAAGGAAGTCTAGTTTAAGTTATGTTTCTGTCTCATCAGGTATTAAAACTAGTGACGCTTCTTTAACTATTTACTGTTGGTGTCACACATCATGTAAAGACAGGTCAGCTGGACGGACGTAGTAGTTCACAAGAGCAAGTTATTCATACAGTAGTCAACAATGAATCATTTTTATGACAATCAGAGGATCACTGGCAGCGTTCAACCCTTGAATGACTTCATAAATTCTGTGACAACTCGCATAAGGAAGAAGTTGTAATGAGCAATTACTGTCTGTCATTCGCTGGAACAACTGCAACTTTGTGCAAAACCATTAGAACAAAAACCCCATCTTAAAATTCAAACCATATTATTATCAAAATGGCACAAGTTAACTGTAAGTTCATATTCATAAATAATCAACAGTTGCCTTCAATGGTTTCATACACGGCTCAATTGTTACATATATTAAAAATTCATGGTTTGGAATGAAATTAAGGAGATAATTACTTATGTTACAATTGTATTTATTATTTGTATGGGGGGAGGACAAATGTATAAATATTCACAGATTCAAACTACAATACCAGTTGAAGCCTATTTCCATTAAAAAAAAAAAGGTGCCAAATAATCTTAAAGAGTATATTCAATTATGGTTCTGAAATGTGAGTTGAAAATTTAACCTGATGTAAATGGCAGTTCTTGTCAACAGCTGTTTTCAGTTTTGGCATAATTAACCAAATAAATAAACAGCCAAGCTTCAAGTTTTTAAATTAGCCGATTTAAATTAATGCTATTGTTTGGAAGCTGCCAATTACATTGTTACACAAAAGCTAAATGATTATGCCATGTGTAAGACATTTAAATAAAAAAAAAAATGTAACTATCAAATGCTACACATGGGTTGACATAAGTCATAGCAATAATTCTCTTAGCTCTTTAATCCCATAATTCAGGCTCACAGATTAACAATGTTCAAATATTAGCAAATTAATCATGTTGGCTTATAAAGATCTGTATTAAAACTATCCTGTAAAGATAGCTGGTACAAAGTCACAGGGCATTGAAAAGTGAAACAATTTTCTCCTCAAAAAGCTTGAAAGTAACAGACTATGATTCCCAAAGAAGTATTTTGGTCGATACTGTCCAACCAAACAATTGAAATTGAACAATTGCCAATAGGCTAGGAAAGCCAATTAGCATTCAAGTATAATAAAAATGTCCTGTTTCTTGACTGTATAAGGGAGAATGTTTTCCCCTGTAATAAAATTACCTTCGCAACAAAATTATAATTGTAAACTTATCGTTCTTCCCTTCAATCTCCCAGCTGTATGCTACTGTTATTAAAACTGAAATATTGAGCACAAAACATCGGATAAAGGTGAAAAAAACCAAAACAGCTGTCCTCGATTTCTCAAGGCACAGTTGTACGCTGTCGGAGATCAGAAAACGGCAAAAATACAGTTTATTTCGTAAAAATGTTTCCCTTCCGCGTTGGTTTGTCGGCTCGATTTTAGTGCTAACACCTAACAAACAATGAATTTCTTTGAGCCAACAGAATAATATTTCCTAACAATCTATTATGCAAATTACATGTAAGAAATGCTAGAGTCTTAAATCATCAAGTCAATAAGACTGATATATTTCTCTACGAAAAATACAAACGTTCAATTTTTTTGATGTTAGTTAATTTCTGATCGCAAAGCATACCGTTTGTTTAATACCAACTTACGACTAGTCCAAAAAAATTCAAGCTTTACTGCTGTCCTTATTATTTTCAATAGGCTCTCAGATCAGCCGAAGTTTCCCCCCGAGTTATGTACACAGTTGATCGAGATCGAATACACTTTCGACAAGGAACTTCTTTGAAAATAAACATGACCTCTAAGCATTGAATATTAGTCACAAAACCACGACATACTCCTAGACTTGGCTACCAGGGGTCGATAATAAAACACCTGAGTGAAAGACGTGAAAAAAAAAAATAAATGTCTAATTAGGCGCTACGTTAATTTCCATGCACTTCTCTACAATACAAAAACATGCTTTTGAAATTGAGTCCGAGTTTTATCGGAGACACGGATGTAATTGATGATATGAAGTCGCAGAGAATAATGTGTTTTAAAAATTCCTTCGTCAGCGTGTACAGGAAGTGCAATTTGTCGCTCGGGTTAAAAGGTGTCAAAATATCTAATCCCTAGCAAGAATGAAAGTTGGTATTGGAAATATATAAAAATCAAGGCATTGCTTGAATAAACATCGCTAACTTACATGAAGTTTTTTCAGTAACACGGCATCTGTGGCGCTTGTAGTCGGTTTCGCAGCCTTCCAGAACTGTTTTTGGGCAGAGTAACGATTGGAAGGACAAACCTTGAATAGGCAGTCTGCAAATCGAAAACACGGATGTGGCAACACGTTTAGCTGTTAAATGCATGCACTAAATGGTGTATTTAACGGACGATCAGACGAACCCACCTCGGAATTTTTTCGGTGGATTGTTCAGGTCGCCTGCAGAAGGTTGCACAACACATCTATCATCGATCAGCCTAGTAAAGTAAAACTTGATTAGAGAAGAAAATATGACACGAAAAGAACAGATGAACAGGCGAATAACGTAATCTATGACTCGGCCATTTACCCAAGTGTGCTAATAAATCCATTTACAGTTCCTTCGGCGAACAGGGAGACTATATCACCAATGTGTAGTAGGCTTGTCTGCTGGGTCATGTCGAAATCTACGGAACCCGCAAACTTCGAATTTCCGCGCGTCGAATCACAGAACAATTTCAAACATTGCAATTCCACATAAATGTGGATGCCGCTGAAATAGTCATCTCGTGATGTTCATGGCCGTTTCTTTGCGCTGCTCTACAAAGGAATCTAACGTAAAAATAAACAAACCGAATATAAGCAAGTTGAATAAAAGATGGTAGCTCTCAAAACTTGCTACCCTTGAGAAAGTTTACATAGAGCCTGGGTTCAAGGAGGGAAAGGAAAAAAAAAATAGAAAACATCCCCACGGGACCCTTCTTGGTATGGAATATATTCAGTTTGGTTTCCGGTTGGTTGTACTGGTGTTGACGGTGGCAAATTGTGACAGCAGATTTTGAATTTCCACCCTCATTTAAAGTCTTTTATGGCTTTATTTTGTGTAACAAGTAACTTAAAACGTGCAAGACCTTTTATGTCGTTACTGAGATCGAGATCGATAAATACTTCTTCATCTAGAGATGTTCAACTCAAGTTGAAGACAGACGCCCAATCAATTTTTCATGCTGCTCTCGGCGCGGTTTCTCCTCAGGAGATGGTAAAAAATAACCTTTTGTTTCGTCAGAATATTCTGTCCATCATGGATCATGAATATGTTGTCGATAAAAATGTCTCCGTGGTTGCGTTTGGGAAAGCTGTGTTAGGAATGACTAAAGCAGTGGAGGATGTTCTGGGAGATCAGATTGTCCGGGGGGTGGCCAGTATTCCCGTAGGACTCCCCCACGCCATTAAGGTAGGTGTAGATCCACGATTATAACTTTTTCAGTGTTGGAGCACCAAATTCTCTTAATCCTTTACCTCCTACGAGTGAGCAAGACAGAAGTTTTCCTTACTATATCAATAAAATATCAAGCAGACAAACGATATGCAATAAGAGGTTTATCAATTAGGGACTATTAATTGATCTAATACAAAATTCTCCTGCTAACTTTATATGAATTTTATAGTAGACAGTAAGAAGAATTATTTATAAAATCTTGGAGGTAAAAAGGGTTTACTGATTTTAAACAAAATTTAATGCAGCTGGAGAGAAAAATTGTGTATCAAATCTTTGGTGTTGTTGAAAATGGTTGAAACGATATACATATTTGTTACTTCATACACAGGCTTCTGGCAATAAAGAACTGATTGAAAAGTCCACCCTCAGTGAGCTCAGCACAATAGAAATCATTGAAGGAGCAAAGAACAACCTTCCAGATGAAATGGCTCAATATGCCGCTAGCAGGATTAAAGAAGTAGCAGAAAGCATGAGCAACCAAGACATTCTTTTGGTCCTTATCTCGGGAGGGGGCTCAGCCCTCCTTCCATATCCTGTTGAGGGAATTACACTGGAGGAGAAATTGAAAACAATTAAAGTATTAGCATCAAGAGGGGCTACTATTCATGAGCTTAACACTGTGAGGAAAAACCTATCAGATATCAAAGGAGGAAAGTTGGCCGAAGCTGCCTTCCCTGCAAAGGTCTATATAACACTTAGTTTGATTAATACATTCATAAATTTTTCTGTCATGTTCCTCAGAATGGTAATTACTTGATCACTAACACACCAACCACAGATGGAATCACTGAATGGCCCAATAACTGACTGATTAATCTAAGCAATAACTTACTTAATAAATCAGGGACTGAGTCACTAATCAACTGACTCACTAGTGTGCTGATGCCCTGATTGATAGATTGTATATCAATTCTAACATTTTTTCTCAAACAGGTGGTGACACTCATCCTCTCAGATGTGATAGGTGATCCTCTTGACATCATTGCCAGTGGTCCAACAGTACCTGATCCATCAACTCCAGCTTATTGCTTAGAAATATTCAAGAAACTCAATGCAGAGGAAGAGATTCCAGATGCAGTTATTCAGTATCTACAGCAATCAAAACAGAAAACAGAGAAGCAAGAAAAAATAAAACTGAATAATTTTTCTCATGTTCAGAATGTCATCATAGGAAGTAATCGCTTTGCGGTTGATGCTGCTGTGAAAAAAGCCCTAGTGCTTGGCTATGCACCTGTGGTGCTGTCCACGATGTTAAGTGGTGAAGCAAGAGATGTGGGAAAAATGTTCTCAGATGCAGCTAATTTAGCTTGGAATGGGCATCTGTCAAAAATGTCACCTTATGGCCAACATGTATTGACTAGCAGTATTGTTAATGAGATATTAACTGCACGTAATGAGCAAAAACCAGTTTGCATCATTGGTGCCGGAGAAACCACAGTCACACTGAAAGGGAAAGGTATAGGGGGGCGTAACCAAGAGATGGCACTCACATTAGCGATAGATATTTATGAAAATCTAGAACAGTTTTGTAATGATGAAAACAATGGTGGTTTGGTACTACTCAGTGCAGGAACAGATGGCCAAGATGGTCCCAACCCAGCTGCAGGAGCAATGGCAGATCCATATCAAGTAACTGAAGCTAAAGAAGATGGACTTGATGCTAAACAGTTCTTGGAAAATAATGATTCTTTTTCCTTTTACTCAAAATTTAAAAATGGAAGGGACCATGTGGTGACTGGATTAACGGGAACTAATGTAATGGATATTCAGATTTTACTTGTATCTCCACCTTCATGACCACAGAAAAAGAGTGGTACATGAAGTGGTAGAAGACCCAGAGGGTGGGTCTGAGGGCTCTGAACCCCCACCCTATCAGACCCATAGGTTTTTTTTTACTACTAATCTGCCAAAAAAATTCATACAAGGACAGGGTTGTATGTTACTTAATTCTCAACAGAAGAATTTCAGTTTATTTGTATTTAAATATTTCTTGACTTAACTGGGCTGTAGTGTAAATAGAAATTTCTGTCTTTTTTGAAATCGAAAGTCAGGTTCCTTCTTCCCTGTATTCACCCCTGTTCCTTGGTTTTGGTTCCCTCAACTAACATGTAAAATGGTTTACCTTTAAAAGACAGTAGATAGCAAATAAAGTTTCCATTCAAGATGAATACTTGGATTTTTCAAAATTGCATTTTGGTGGTATAAATTACAAGGTTTGTATAAAATCATGTTCTTAGTAGTTGGGTGTCTGGTGTATTGAAATTGAAATAAATATTTTGGATTAACAATAATTTTGTTTCTGAAGAAAAGGCTCAGTAAAAGTTCCGTTAGACATTGTTTTGTTTTATTTCTTTATTTTTTAAATATCTGTTTGTTTGAACTGGGGTGTGCTCTATAGCCCATTTCTGACCTTTTAAACACAAACCTCAGCAGTACATTCAGGAGACAATTCACATTTATCCATATTTATTCATTTTTAAGCCCTAATTAAATGCCAAAGATATTGCTTTAGTTTTCATTTGGTGCAGGAAGCGAAAACTCGTCTGAAGTGGACAGTTTAGGAAAACCTTCTAAGATGTTCCGCTATCCTCTCGTTGAAGTCCATTCCAACATTATATAAGTACGATCTCTCACATGTCACCTTTCCAAATTTGGAAGATGACGCGCTTTCGAAAATACCTCGGGACCTCGGTAACCGAACGACGCTGTTGATTATTGATTCGAAGAAGAAAGAAATTTGAATCGGCCCATAGTTCGCCGAGTAATCGGTTCTTGAAAGGACAACCTGGAAAGAAATCTGTGATGGATGTGTAATCGAATTGCAAGAAATTCTGAAGAAAGCGTTATTGGTAGCTGATGAGATTATCAGTAAGTTAGAATTTTTGATGAACAGTGAAGAGGGCTCGGATCGAACAGCTTTGTTCGAGCCGTTGATATTTTGTAAATGATAGGGCACTGATTCTGCAAGTGCAGCCGGAAAATATGTTTGCAAAAGGTACAGTCTTCCCAGAGCTTCAATCAAGCTTTCCATTTTTTATTTTCCTGCATCGCGAATACATGTTATAAATAATTTTAGCCTCACTTAGCGATATACAGCTTCGATCGGCTAGCGCACTTTATTAAAGTTTATTTAGCCCATATTGTGTAGATTGCAGAGTGCGAATTCATTCAAGTAGTAGGAAACAGTTGCCAATATCTACGTCTGGTATCAAAACACAGGCTATCTTCTTTAGATTCTAAACCAGACTCGTGAAGAAATCGTAATAACTCTGATGTATCAATGCCGATAAATTTCACAAGGAAATATTTCAAACGAAAAAAACTGCCGTTACGGCCTTTGTTTTCATCTTTTGTATTTGTAACCATGAAAACAAGGAAACGAAATCCGACCCTTGTAATGACACGTTTCTACATCGGTGTGACTTCCACTAGATTAACTTTTTCATCTCACAGTATTTTTATCGCTTGGCAGTGTTTGGAACATACATAGATTCTTATGCAGCATAATTCCGTTTAAATTGAAAACCGCAACAGGTTTGGTCGGTACACCATTCATGACGATTTCATTTAAACATCTGACTTCATCATCAAAAATGAAATTTTCAATCCCTCAAACATATATACATTCCAAATTATCCGTTTGACCTGAGATAACAAGGAGAAACCAAATGGTAATTCAGATTGCAACAGGAGTGCTTACCTTCTGTTTTAAAAGAGGCCGTGTTGTGAACACATTGTATATGTATTCCAACCTTGCGTGTTGATAATTTTCTCTTACTTTTATTTCAGCCACTTTTCAATCATGGTGATCTTATCAAGAAGGCAAGAGTGGATCAGCTAAAAAAATTATTACCTTGGTGTGCATTAAGCCAAAAAGAGATAAAAGATGGATAAAACAACATCTTTGTATTGTCTACCAATTGAAAGGACGTCTGCATCGTCCTGTTGGACATCGATCCCTCGATGTTGTTGTAACTGCCCACAGATGTCTGGAAATTCAAATCCACGTGAACAAAACTGCAACAAAAACTTTCTGAAGTGTACTCCTTGGAGAAAAAAATCACTTATAAGATCTACTTCAAGATGGACTTTTCTGGGATTAAATTCGTGTTTGCTAAGACTTTTACTGCTATTTTGGAGCCTATCAAACACTGTTGGCAGTGTTTTCAGTGGAATTATATCTGCAAAGGGTATACCAAGGCTTAGACTGTGGTGGATATTACTGATTGCCAGTTTGTTTGGCACAATTTTGTTACCAGTTGTATCAAGTCAAGAAAGTGTACAACCTAAACCATCTGTGAAAAGCAAAGTGCTGCCTAATGCGGTTGTCTATGTTGGATCTGTATTTAGTTACAATATTTCTGAGGATGTATTCGATTGCAATGTGAACAGCATTGTGGTAAGTTGCACCTAAAGTATACAGAGTTGGTGAATGTAGCTTATATTGCCACATTCCCTGATGTTTTGTTACCCAAAGCCGAGACAACACACCCCATTGGTAGAAAAAATTGTCCCATAGTGTTTCCTTGTCACCCCATACTACATGTAGATTGGCTCAATTTCATCATTAGTCATGACAATGTTTACATTGCCAATGGGAATGCTAAGTAGAGTACTGCGTTTACATCAACATAATGTGAATGTGGTCCTGGACTGAGAATCCTGGTAAAAGAATCGCCACAACTTTTTCAACCTGCAAATTAATTTTCTAGCCTGTGGATGCAAGGAACCTTTGATTGTGTTTTTGAATAATCCTTTTATTTTTGCAGGTTTCAGAAACAGCAGATAGATTTCTCTCACACTGGCTGTCATATAGCAGCAACAAGAAACAACTATATGGTGTTCCCTCAGATAAAGATAAGGGAACTTACAACATCCTAGTTGTAGCTTTGACAAAGGACACTTCACTGGGCGGCCATGTTTGTGGGTCACAGTCATTTTCCATTGTTGTTATGTCTATAAGTGAACAACTGCCAGTATCAGTTCATCTCAGCACTACAGGCTTTAGCAGCAATGATCACAAACCTGCTCTTGGTTTGTCGTGTCCTCCCAGAATACAGGCAATCCTGGGAACAGTGGAGTTGAACATGGACATACAAAGCCTTAATGGGCATCAGCGTATGATGTTAGTGGTTAAAATGGCTGGCCATCTCAGTGTGGACTCTAGCAAATTAGGCTTCTTCTCAGGTGGGATTTCCAACCCAATAACACAACAACTAGACAATCCCACTGTTATAGCAGCTGGTGTGGGAGACGGTAGATTTGCCAAAGGCATAAGGAGTTTCATAACCTGGAACATGGCATGTGGTGCATTAAAGCTGACAGATGTAGGTTTTTCAAAACTTGAAACTGCTGCTCAAGATGGAACCATTAGCACACTGATGGGTGTCCCTGTGGTGGGGTGGCATGTCTTGTCTGGAACTCAAAAAGACATGGTACGACGCAGAGTTCGAAGACAAGCACAGGGGATTTTTGCTATTACCCCTACGCCCTCTGCATCCAGTACCCCACCCTCAAGATTGTCAAATATGTCCACTTTGGTCATTGTCTCAAAAACTGTTACTTTAAAATCTGCAAGCCAGAATTCCACAACTTTACTTCCAAGTGTTACACCAAACAGAACTGTTACCAAAACCACAAGTGTTAGCATCAACTCAACATTGTTCAGTCAGTTAACAATGAAAAGCATTCAGTCTTCTACCACTGGCTTTAATTTGACAGCGTCAAGCCTGCTAGTAAACAAAAGTATGTCATCATCCTCCAGCATACACTTCAACTTGACAGAATCAAGTCAGCCACCAAACAAAACTGCTTTTGCATCATCTAGTCTAATTTTCACATCTTCTAGTGTTAGCATCTATCCAACAACTTCAATTCAGTTTCCAAACAGGACTATTTTCCCATCTTATAGTGTGAGCATCAATTTAACAACTTCAAGTATTTTGCCAAACAGAACTATAATCCTATCTCCAAGTGTAAGTGTTAGCTTGACAACATCAAGCCAGTTACTCAGTGCCACAGTATTCAAGTCTTCAAGTGCTGTCAATATAAACACCAGCATAACAAGTATCTTAACCTCTTCAAAGCTTCTGCTGACACTGAACAGTTCTTCTGCATCACGTCCAACAAACATCGTTTCTGCCAATAGAACAATAACTATATCAGAGAGTCATACCCCATCTCTGAATTCAACATTTGTCACAAGAACGCTGTCTTTTATACTTAGTGCTTCTTCACCCAACAAATCAACCATTGTATCATCACAGAATAGATCAATCTTGAGTTCGCTGACAATGATAACACTGAATACAAGTCAAGCTGTAATTTCCTCAACTACAGTTCCTTCAGCATCCCAAGGAAACACTTCCATAGCAGTGAGAGCATCTTCACTGACTGCGTCTTTCAACAGAAGCACTTTAGTCACATCTGTTAGTATTTCATCAAGTTTTCCATCAGTTCTTACTACGCTTCAGTCAACTTTTCCAGCAACATCCACGGCAAAGTTAAATTCTTCAATTCCAAATGTGTCTTCATTGACGTTAATCACTCAAGCAACTGCGTCAGTGACTGTAGTTCCAAGTAGCTTTATGCCTGTTGCTAACACATCACTGCTTATCACAAGTGCAGCCAGTCACACAAGTTTATCCACTGTGATATCCACTACCAGCTCAAATCTTTCATCCATGACATCAAAGAGTACTTTCTTGGCTTCTTCATCAAGTTTAATTTTGCTTCCTCCAAATACAACTTTGGTTGAAAATTTAACATCGTCTGCTAAGACAAGTGCCTTTGTAACAAGCAGCATGGTAATCTTGCCATCAACTCCTCAACCAGGAAACTCCACCGAATCAAAGGCAACTTCACCAATGCCAACATCATCTTTGTTTACAAGCCTCGTTTCATCAACAATGAACAACACTGAGATATCATTGGTCAAAACAAGTTCACTGGTCCCATCATTGTCAAGCACATCTTCAGTGATGTTGTCCAGTTCTGCAACACAGATGTTAAGTCCTTCCATGTTGCTTCTGAGTTCTACAATAGCCAACCAGACATCTGGGGTACAAATCTTCTCAAGCAGTACCTTACAGCCCAATCTCACTTCCTCAAAAACTGCTGTTCTGCCATCATCGATGTCTTCACCTATTGTAACAAATGCAAGGTGAGAAACAAGAACTGTTCAATTACAAGCACAAGTAGATGTTGATAATGAGTTGTCGGAAGAGATAATGCAATTTTTAAATAAGTGTCAAAAATAATTTGGGATTACTTTGGTTTTGCCTTACTTCACCTGAGATTGGTCCCAAAAACTTGTCCTTCTTTCAAACCAATCAGATTCAAAAATAAGACCAATAGCTACCTGGTCATTCAGGTTTTCATCCACTTCAGACAGATTGCTTTTTTCATTCTAAATTCTTATTGTTTTTTTTTCTTTCGTGGTATTTTCCTTTGTTTTGATTAACTTTTGAGATCTAAGTGGGCTCTAATAAACATAGCTAAGAGTAAATAATTAAGACTTTTGGCCAATAACAAGTCTGACAATGTTCTTTGGGGAAAGTTATTCCTTAGATCCAGTTAAACTTATCAGAATCCTTACATGTACATTCACCAAACTAGTTGTTCTTGCTTGTATCTATAATTCTCTGTTTGTTTTCACTGAATTTATTGTGTTTCATCTTGATTTTCAGTGAGGTGACATCTGTGAATGCAACTACCAGTAAGTCAACCTTGAATTTGTTTGATATAAAAAAAAAATTGGTGATTATCATTAAATTGTTTCTTAAGTGCACTCAAAACATTTCATCGTCAATCCTCAAACGCCTTCACCAACTATTCTGTAGTTAACCAGATCCTTCAAGGTTTCCTTTATCTGTTCAGAATTTTTTGCATTATATACATAGCAAAACGTTTCAAAGTACACGAATTGAAGTCTTTTTTATATCTACCTTCACATCTTAGAACCATAGAGAAAAGAGATAATTTTGTACTTGTGATGCCAAATTAAGAGAGTACAGAATTTTACAAGAAGATTTTTACTTATTTGACGTATTTGCAGAGAGGGCAAGGGTACTCCCATAGGAATCAACAACTTTTCTGTAATTAGTAGCCACCACCCAGAAAACAGTGCAAAGACATGTACTATGTGTACACATGCAGTAACCTCTAACAAACACGCTTAGGGCAACGGTCTCAGGAACAGAAAACCCTTTTCTTTAACACGCTATACTTTTTAGAATGTTTGTTTTGTTTTTTGTTTTTGTTTTTGTTTTTTTCAAGCTAGTTTAACTCCAACTAACTTAATACATTGATAAAGCAAAAACAATAACTTTCCTCACAACTTTTCAGCCGACTTTTGCCCTTATCTTCTTTGATCGAAATTCTTCAAAACTTTTCATCTTTCTACTCATTTTCCTCTAACAAGTTTTTCTCCAAGTTGCTGATCTATCCTGTAACCTCACGCAATCAGCAGTGCGCCGAGCTCCAGAGTATGCTGCATGAAAAACTACATGAAGTGTCTGCATGCTCCTTCCTCGAATAAAGTATGGTATCTTTGACTGCATGGAAAAAATGGACGGAATTCTCATAGTGTCGTATTTTGTTCCTAATCTATGTTTTCATTTCAAAATTGACCTCCACAGCCAAGAGGACTGCAATGGTGAATTCAACATTTGAAATCAATAGGTCATCGTTTATCGCCGTAACTACGTCGGCTTTTCCGTTAACAAGGACGAGTGGTACCCGAAGTTTTCCGAGCACCTTCTTCGCTAATCGTAGTGTTGTCCCTACCATCACTTCGAAAGGAATTAAAAAATCGAGTGTTAACATTTCGTCCACTCCAAAAATCACAACAACTGCGTTTGTATTTAGCACAATTTCACCATTGAGCACTTCTCAGTTTACCAGCATGTTTTCAAGCATTGATCTAAGACCGAACTTAACTAGAATTACAGACTCAGATTTTTCATTGTCTGTAAAACGGACCACAAGCTCTGAAGTTCCTGTGAATTCCACGATTGCTTCAAGTACTAAAGGAAGTCCTACAGCGGTATCAAGTGCTGTCACCAAATCTATGAACTCAACTCTCTCTGCAACAAGAACGACTTCATCGGCAATGTCTGTTGTTACCAGCTCAAGTGGACATTTTAACGTTAATTCCTCATTGATGCCGTCAGTGTTCTCCAGTGGCAAACCTATCGTTGGATCGTCTTCCACGTTGATGGCAAATTTAAGCAGTTCAGTTCCTGTGTTGGATTCAAGTACCGCATTTTCTGTTGTTTTTACCCCTGCAGACACCTCTGTAATGAATTTAACTACAACAGAGATGTCAACTACCCAAATCAGCCCTACAACTCTGTCGTCCATACCCACTTCAAGTTCAGCATCCTCACTTCTAAATTCACAAGACCAGACAACTTTGCTTAGCAAAAGTGATGTTAGTGAGTCCAGCAGAATCGTGCAAAATTCGACGACGTTGTTCGGCGCAAGCAGAACTGTTTCGATGAATTTCAGTTCTCTTTCGTCGACCTCTTCATTAAGAAAATCAACTACTGGAATTGACAGCACAATGTCACGAATGTCCTCTGCCATAATTGTGGTAACCTCTACTGTGGTGTCACTACCCTCAATCACAGTCATTCCAACTTCTGTCACAATCCCACCAGCATCTGCCACAGAAATACTACCTTCAACTACAGTCATACCAACTTCTGCAACTGCGATACCAACCTCCGTTACAGATACTTTGATTCTTTCCACGCACGTTACTCGCGGCACGCGTGTAGTGAACTCCAGCAGCAGACTTGACAGTGTTTTCAGCAGGACACCCAGCTCTGTCCAGACGAGTACCGCAGTCACACCCACGCCGGTGTACAGGACAACCAGCATCTTGGAGACCAGTGGTAAGATACCAATGATTCGTTTCTCGTACGTGTTGTTGTTTCATTGAAGTATTCTTATCCACTAATCGCATCAAACGCCACTGTATTGCTTGGCTGATGAACTTAAGAGAGCTGTGATGAGTTCTCCGGGCGCTTACCGGCCAGAGCAATTCACTTCAAGTCACCAAATGTTTCTTGCGTGACACTTTGTAATGTTACCTTGTTTCCTCTCCAAGGTTCACCCTCTTTCGCGTCACACAATACAACGAAAAAGACTCTGAGAAGCACTGAAGTGATAGTGAACTCGTCCTTTACACCCAGTTACTCAATGGTTGGATCTCGAATGACCACTACTAAGTTTTCATCAGCACAAATTAACAGCACTTCTGTCACGCAAGTTAATCTGACAGCTGTTACACATAGTTATGTGACACCTGTCACGCAGAGTAATGCTACATCTGTCACGCGATTCAGCATTCTTCAGAGTAGCATATTTGTAGTCACACCTTCCAAGTTTATTGGATCGTCGATAAAATCTAGAATTACTTTCTCGGACACAGTGAAAACTTCATCTATCACGCAAATAACTACTTTAAAGTTGATTCAGAGCAGTAAAACTAGCACTCGAACGCCGGTCATCACTGATTCAGGGATCAGAATCACGCAATCGACCGTGGAAATAGCAGCATCTTCAAGGATTCCAACATTTTCGTCATCAAGGTTCGAATCGATGGCAAAGAAAAGTAGTGTGACCGATAGTGCCGCCTCACGGATAGTCAGTAGCGTGACATCTCTCATGACATCAGGTGTGACACTTGATCGGACGTCTTCTGTTACTATGCAAACAGAGTTCGCTGTCACGACACTTGTTTCAAAATCATCGACAAGGAAAAGTAGCGTGACCGATACTGCCGGGTCACGGATAGTGAGTAGCGTGACATCTCTCATGACATCAGGTGTGACACTTGATCGAACGTCCTCTGTTACTATGCAAACAGAGTTCGCTGTCGCGACACTTATTTCAAAATCATCGTCAGGAACTCAGAAAATGTCGTCGGCGAGGTCGATAGTTAACGTGACAAAATCCTTGGATCAGAGCTTTGTGCCACCTTCACGAAGTATGACCTCATCTACCTTACGGTCGTCGGTTTTAAGGAGTCTAACAGCCTTTATATCTACAAGTATTTTAACATCAAGCACCAAATTCTTGACAGTTGTGACCAAATCAACCAAATTAGCAGCCACATCATCATCATTATCATCATCATCAACCACTACCACAGAGAAAGGCGCTCTTACATCAAAGCCCAGCTTAGTTGCTGAGACAAGTACTCCGCACAGATCTTTTACACTAACGACACTCAAAACAGTATCCTCGCCATCCTCTTTATTAGATAAATCTTCCGTTGGAAGCCGCATTCCGGCTCTCTCGCCTACAGCGGCTTCTTTCTCTTCACGTAAGTCTGGTGCAGACAACTCTTCCATGAGCTTTTCCTCTTTTGTCTCTGTGAAATTTCTAATCTCATACGGGACCTTAGTCAGTACTACCTCGTTTTCATTATCGCGCGCACCCACCTCATTTCGCGAAAATTTTTCCACTGTTGGTAATTCACAAAACCTCCGCTCGGATTCTCTTGTCACTCAATATCTTTCCACCCCCATTAAAACTAACAACATAATCGACACCCCAAGACAAAGTTCCGGAAGTTTTCATACTAGCATCTCCCAAACTGTGGTTTTAGCTACAATCCCCCTGTCCTCAAAGCTAGTTCCTAATAGTGCAGTAATTTTCCCTCGTTCTTCTAACCATTCTGGCTTTTCTTTTCATTTTTCTTCCATTTTAGGTCCGCTTCCAAGTAGCTCATCTCTGTCTCCATCCAACTCGACCCAGACTGCAACACTGCCAGGCACAACTCGGACAATTAGCGTGTCACCATCGTCAACCTCTGTTGTCATACCAACCACTGCCCCGCCCAATTCACCCCCCGAGGTTATCAACAACTTGGGCCGGGTGATAGCCCCCGCAGGTGTGGCATTACATTATACCATACCCGAAGATACTTTTTATGATCGGGAGGACGGCGCCGACACGCGTAACCTGTCGCTTTCGATGAAACTTGCGAACGGTTCATCGATCCCGGAGGACTTTTGGTTACAGTTTGACAGTGAAAGCCAGACTATCGACGGATTACCGCTAGACACGCATGTACCTGATGGGATTATGGGTCAGGTGCTGGTAGTGTATGCTCAAGATAGCCGCGGCGCTGAAGCCTTGGACGCCTTTGAGGTTTTGGTTGTTCCATCGGAAAATCCAGTCGTGCAAGAGTTAAACATCAGAATTACAAACGAGTTTGTCGAGTTTAGCCGCAACGTAGCTCAGAGGCTTTTACTGTTGAAAAAGATCGCATCATATTATGAGGATGCGGATGAATCAAACATAAGAGTGTTGAGTTTCAAAGCGGGGTCAGTGATAATGTCATGGACGAATGACTCGTTACCGACAGAGAGATGCGACGAGGAAAAATTACAGTACGTTGCGAATAAGATACTACTTTCCAATGGCGAAGTAAGAACGGAATTTAGGGGGGCTTTAAAAGGCTTTCCAGTGGTGAGTGCGAACGAGGAGCGAATGGGAGTTTGTAACGGATCTTACCCCGTCATAACTAATGCACCAATCGACGCAGGCGCACGAACGTCTAGTGAAGAGGGTGACTTGTGGTACAAGCATGTTCTCGTTGGTGTGCTCATCGTCCTTATTTTAATTGTTCTGGCCGTGCTACTGATCTGGTACTGTAGGAGACGGAGACCAAAACCTTCTAACGAGAAGCGTACCTTTAAGAAACGCAAACCCATCATTCTGGAACCGGAGATTGAGTTAAAACCAATTCCTGGGAAACCACTTGTTCTACCGGATGATTCCCCGAGTTTCCCGCCATCATATATTTCGGAAACCTCGCTTGATAAGCCTGTTTCTTCCGATGAAGATGACGAAGAGGATTATGGGAAAGGTAGCCCTGGTGTTAGGTACGAGCCTCCCCCGCCTTTTTATGGAGTCCTCGATGACGAAGATCCTCGGAACACTCCTCCGCCGGCCTACCAGCTACCCCCAATGTTTTGAAGATTTTAGTTGCCACATGACACGAGTAAACTGGCGTTTTTTTTAGCAGACTTCTGAAACTAGGCACAAACTTTTGCAGCTAATTTGCTCTCGTATCTTGTCCTACCTGCTCTCTAGAACAGAAAAAGGCGCAAAACTACTTCTCTGAGGTACTTCGAGATAAGGCGGTTAACGGGTCAAATCTCAAACGTTTGTTGCAGTTAAAGCTGAATTTAGCGTGGGAAAAAGGACATCTTAATTTTTATTTTAAGGACAACTATTTTTAAGTTCAATAACTTATGATTTAAATGTTCAACGAGAGTTCAGTTTTACATAAATTTAGGAGAATTTCTGAGATCTTTTTTACAATTGTAAATTTATCGTCGATCCAAATTTTATGTTTTCGAAACTTTTAGTCACGACCAGGATGTTGAAGATACTAATCGGTATTCAAACTGATACTTCAGTGAAAAAATGCCAAGTTACTTCTCTTGCTGAGAATGAAAATGAGATGAACCATGGGCAGTGAATGTTTTATTTTGATATTTGAACATTTCAACAAGAACGAATCTGAAAGAAGTGTAAGCAACACTGATAATCTCATTCTGTAAATAATAGCGCCGAAAATTTTTAGAACTTTGATGCAGTAGATAATATGTCAATTTGTACAAATTTTTGTTCTTAGCTCATACGGCTGTAAGATAGCCAGGACTTGAAAAAGAAATGAAAATTAGTGAAACCATCAACAGTGTCCAGTTTTTCAGCGCACGTTCGATGTTTTAGTGCAAGCCCAAGACAACTGATTCGAGGTCGAGAAACATTAAGCCGAGGCCATATTCTATACCTCAGAGCTTCTCACTTTTCGTGGACAGGAGGATCTTGGGGGGATTTATCGTGCCACGGTGAGCGAACCTTTGGGTTCTGGGGACGAGGGTAAGGCGAAGCTTACTTAGTATTGATGTAGAAAACAGCATACAATACTTCCTTCCCCCGTTTGCAAGTAATACTGCTTGTTGGGCGCTAGGACCCCGCAGAAACTAACGCCAACCGATGGAGGTTTTTTTTACCTTTCTAACGGTAGCGAGCCTTAATTTCGTCCCTTATCTTGACATCTCGCGCGCTCAATTCACTAGCTTACCTCGGTTTGAATCTAATCTTACCTGTCATAGTGTAATAACAAAAGTTTTCTGGCGTTTGAAGATATGCCATGATTTATATTTCATGTGATTTTCTTGTTCAAATGTACTCCTTAAAGAGAGTTTTGCGCTCAAGTTGGTTTGCAGTGATAACAACACAGGTTTCAGTGACTGTATTTGTCAAAACTAAACGAGAAATCTTTCGAATCTGGACAAGCAGTGTTAAGAAGGGAAAAATTCGAGCTCTCATCTCCGGGAGAGGAAAAGAATGGATAAAGGATGGACCCTTAAGGTGTGGAGAGGGAGGCAACAACGGCTTGACCAATATAAAACACACGGTCTTCATGTGAAAAGAAACAACAACAATAAACGCCTCTTTATTTGAAATAAATTTTTACATGGCCAGAATATCAGCCCTCTCCTCAAATTAATATCAAGTCATTCTCAAATTTGAAGTGTAGCGCGATTGTAACTACGCTAGCGCGGCTTTGGAATCACTTGAGTAAACAGCTAAGATTCGCGCTCTTTGCTAAATCTCTGAAAACTTAATACATCTCTTCTTTATATGACAAAAAAAAACAAAACATTTATACCATGGATAATTCTATTTACAAATTTTAATTTAAACTAGTAACTATGCCAACCCACCATAACTTCGGTAATCAAAGATGTAAAAATCCTTTAAAAACGTTTGCTGAACAAAAGTGAAGCAAGCGAAAATTTACTTAAAATGTGGAACTCAAGCCAAAGTAATCGAGTTTAGATAGGTTTAAATGCTATTTCGATTAATTTCGCTCGAGTGCTTCCGAATCTTTGCAAGATTTCTCGGAAGGTTTACAAACATTTCCACATTTCATTACAAAACAAATTATAAACTTTTCCTCTGAGAGAGTACAAAAATCTGTACACAGAAGTATATATTAAAATAACATTAATTGTTTCAACCCCCCCCTCCCTTAAATAAAAATTTAAAAATGAAGTTTCTTATAGTCACTGCGGAACCAAGGTTAAACATTTAGTTCTAAATCTACTATGGCGCCTGACAAACGTTGTAGAACGCAACAATCTAAAACAAAATTTAGTACGAAAATGGAAAGGACAACTTCCGGAGAGGAGGATGTCACAGAAGCAAATTGACTTGGAACGCAAAGGAAAAAGAAGCCCCACCCTTCCTTCCCACCTCTTACACAAGGTGTCTACACGTGTCGTCACATGGACCGACCTACAGGACTTGAAGGAGTACTATTACTAATCTGACTACGAATACTGTCACGCACAGTTCTCACGCATGAGAGAATCTGGAGCCGAGTGTGGGTCATGGAACCTGCATCCCAGCTCCGCGAGCGTACGGCTCGCTTTCGGGGGGTGCCAGTCGAGCGCGGTGGTTCACGAGCCTGTGTCTCCATATATGGAAAATCAGTTGAGGAGTCTGACATTGGAGTTCCCAGCGGAGTTTGGAGAGACGTTTCATCTATAAAGAGGAAATGAAGCAGAAAACACGTGTGCAATTCCCATTGGATAATAACGAAATCGTAGTTGTGACTGCAACAAGCAAAGAATGAGACAAACAGCTGGCACGCGCGTATTGCAACAAGCTAACGCACCTTCGGGAGTGGAACAATATGCCACTGCCGTAGTTTCCTTACACATACTTTCAGGATTCGGCTGTTTTAGGATCAGGTTTGTTGCTTCCCTTTCCCTATAATAAAGAAAATAAAAGATTGGTATTAAAAAAGCGGCTTCCAAATATTTGGAGTAATTTCGAGATCCTGTTATTTACTTTTACATGCATAAACGTATGAGTATACGAGCGTATATGCGTATGTGAAAACGTGCACGTGTAGAAGCATACGCACATGCGTGCGTAATTGCATGCACACGTGCGAGCGTATGTATGCGTCTGTTCAAACTCCTTACCCCGCAAATGACGTCAAAAACTCTTTAACATTCATAACCCCAATCTAAAAGAGGAAATAAACGAAAAAATTATATCTTTCGAATAAGGAAGAGCACAGCTAAAATAGATTCTCATGGCCCCTTAGAATAGGAAAAATTTAATCTGCACTGGCTGATAAGCTCACCCCTCGCTCAAAGAACCACGGTACTTCCATTCTGTTCTTGTCCATATCTGTGATCAAGAGAAACACTGATTTTAACGAAACATGCAAGGATAAGCCATTATTTTACATGCTGAGGAAGGGACATTCCCTCTTTTGTACTCGTAACATTGGAGCATACTTAGAGGAAAAATAAACACGAACTTTAAATCCAACGAAAATACAAATCACTTCTCATTGTTCTGTGCTGCAGTTCGGCTTGAGTCTGGGTGGTTCGAATCTTTCAAATTCGTGATAGAGGTACAAAACCGGTACTACTGGCCTGGCTTACCATAGCTGTTGCTCAGTGGTTAAACATCAGAGCGCAAAATCTGGATGGTGTGGATTTTCTGATGGTATTTCGGTTTCGATTTCGATAAGGAGGACAATGACTTTTTATTTGAACCACGCTCGTAAAAACGAATAACACCCTTCTTTAAAATATCATAGGCAAAAGATTTCTGCTGACGCACCTGACAACAGAATCACGTGTCTGTAGACAGACACAAGTTCAATTTGTAGCTTGAGCGAGGTCTGTAAATAGCGCTGGGAAGACGGAATGCCTTCTGTTACGTAACCCTGGTCGAGAAGAACAAAACAAAAGCATTTTGAAATCAAATTGGTTCGAAAAATTGATACGTTCAGCATTCAAATTTAACAAAATTCCCACTGTAGTAGTTAGGAACAAAAGCGAGCTTTATTTGGCGAATCATGTTGACTGCTACGTAAAACAAAAACAAAAAAACGAAATTTCTTTTCGACAATTCTCAAGGTAAACTTGCCAAAGTCGCATTTCACAAGATCTTTCCGTTTACTAATATCCTTGTTCAAATACTATCGGTATCGGACGTTTCAAGGGAAACTCGTCAAATGTTTCCAACAATTTTCCATAATTTCTGGGAATGTTGCCAATGAATATGCAGCTTTCGACGATAACCGCAAATCCTCTCACCTTTTGAAGAACTGTAACAAAACCTTCGTTCTTGTAATCGCGTAGAAGATTCTAGGGGAAACACGTTGAATTCAATTAACAGTGGAAGGGACAGGGGGTTGGGGAGAATATAAAATCTTCAAATTATACATATCTTCTTCAGTCATGTAACTATTCCAAGTAAGGTCTCGAATCGATGTGTATTCAAGTGCACACATCAAGATAAATCCCACGCCCTTGAAATTATACGCGAATTACCTCTCACTCGCCGCATTATCTCTCGCGCATGTCTTTACAAAATTGAGAGAGTAAAGTTTTTTGGCGAGCTACGATGAACGTTACCGATTAACTCATTAGCACCCTTTTGCTATTTTGATAATGAAGCTGCACGCCAAGCAACACATAAAAAAAAAAACTAACGAACAAAACAAAAAACCAGAACAGAGGTTAATCTGTCCGTTTGGCGAGAGCTTATTGGCTTATAAGATAAGCGGAGCATAACACTTCAAAATGCATGCAAAAGCGCCGACTACGCGAACTAAATTGAACCAAGAGCGAACTTACCAGAACTCTGGAGTCTCTTCTCGTCAGTGGCCTGTAGCAAATTAAACCAAAACAAAAAACAAAAAAACGCAGGGATTGAGCGGAGCCAACGCGATGACAGGTTTTCTGAATAACGATAAAAAATTGACGAAGCCAAAACTGACTCACCTGTTCAGAGAAAGTTTCTTGTAGCCATTTCGGCTGATGTTCAAGACCCAGACGAACTTCTGATGAACTAGGCTTTGTTCCTTTAGGTAGCGTAACAGAGCATCAAGGTGATCTACGAGACGAAAGTAAAGCAAGAACGATACGGCTTAATAGTCAGGCAGCGAGCGAGAGAAACTTCCGGCTGCTGAAACACGATCAACACAGGGCTGAAGAAATTCAAACCAGGACTGTACTGTGGTACAAGTGAACATTTAAGACTGGGCCAGAGGACATAAGTATCCCTCAGAGGTGCCGCATCTATATGTAACCCCTCACCCTGTCGCTCCCACCCAATCCCCTACCCCCCCATCTTACCTTTCACTCTTTCACTCCGCTCACCCCTCCCTCCTCTTCCCCCTCTCACTCCCCCCCAAAACCGTCTCACCTTTCACTCTTTCACCCCCCTCAACCTTCCTTTCCCCCCTCTCGCATGCAGATGCAGACTGTCCATAGACTCACCAAGTTGAATTGTCTTCAGAAAGTTGTCATCGGCCAGCAAGGCACCACCCGAAACAAAGATGTTCTCGTAAAAACGGCTTCCTTCTGTCACGTCTACAAAGAAAGACGACGTCAACTCCACTCAACTATACTAATCAACTAAATTTTTGTGACGTCCCTTTTTTGCAGTGAAGTTAATAGCAGTCTAACGGTGAAGATCAATTCGCAGTTGTTATTATGAATGTTTCGCATACCTGTCAAAGTGTTAAACAGGGAGAACTTGACAAGTGGTGACATCTTCAATCGGTACAAGTTGGCCAACCTGGTGACAAAGAGGTAAATATTGAGAAATCTTAAGGAATATCGGCAATTTTACAGTGAGTACAGAACACAGGAAGAGGATGACAACATAGCCCATTAACCACTTGTCACAGAGACATTCACTCGGTAAAAAATTCTGGGAATAACACGCTCCGAAAACAGATTTAGCCGTGCCAAACACCAACTATTTCTTCCCCAAAGGAGACAAAATAAAAGAGAGAAGCAGCGTCTCTTTCAGCACTCCGGCTAAGTGAGTCGCACCCTCTATCTTGGAGAGGAGCCACCGTGCCCCCAAAAAGCAGAAGAAAAATAGTAGACTAGGTGAGACAAAACCATACTTATCTTCAGTTCCTTTATTTACCTGTGAACAGATGGCAAGTGTTTTTTTCTGATGAACACTTTCAGCTCTCGTGTATTTTCCTCCAAATATTTGGAGTTCCTGACATCCACAAGTGTTCCACCTGCTCTCAACATGTAGTTCTTACAAAAGAACAAACATACAGTATTGCAACCTTAAACAATTGAGCAACAGTGTACTATTGTTATCATAAAGTGAATGGCGATATCATGCAAAGTAACGAGGATACCGCGGTTTGATATGTGCGTTGGTTAAAACCTGCACAAACTGTCTCAGTAAAGGGACATTGATTTCTAGAGCGTTAAAGCTTCAAACCGCTAAAAGCGAAGGTCTGCCGTTCGCTTCATTGTTGGGGACTAATCTTTGTTTCACAAACGTGACACCCCGAAAGATCTTTCTTTAACTGCGACTCCTTTCTAAGGAAATGGCACAACATACAACATACAACATACCTTCAACGCTTCACACTCCCTGTCAACGTCTGGTGAATACACAAAGAACTGGAACTTCCTGTTAACACCTGGCTTTTGACTTCTCTTCTGAATAGAAGGCTTCCCTGATACTAAAAGAAAGTACAACAACACACTATAACATGATTTTCACAGAGGAACGGAAAGTTGACTGGCGTTGAGGAGTCGATTCTGGTTCTCAGTGTTGGGAGGGCACCGCTCTCAAAATTGCGCCATTTCTGCACCCATAGATTTGATATGTCTAAAAA